TCCTCTACTCACACAGTTTGCAATTGGCCACTCTGAGGGCCAACGGCCACGTTTCTTTCAGGCCTGACTCCAGTCCTCTAGCCACACTTTGTTACCACAGTCTTCCCTGGGCCCTGCGCCTGCTTCAGCCCGCTGCCAGCCCCAGCCTCCAGGTCAGCCTTTGGAGAATCCATGCTAAGGCAGCGTGGTGCCTGGAGCTGACGCAGGTCGAGCCAGGTCCTGGGCTTCTGGGGAATGGGAGGAGCTGGGTGTTGAAGTGGAGCCGGGAAGGGCAGAGCCAGGGGTTCAGCTTGAAGTTCCAGGCTGTGTAGCCCAGCGGATAAGAGCTGAACTCTAAAGCTGGGGTGTCAGGTGGCTCTACTGTGGGTGACCCTGACCATGTTCATGACCTCCAACGCCCTCATTTTGGAGTTGGGGGGGGGGCAGTGGCACAACTGGTTTACAGGGGAATGCTGACCAGATGACCAGAGCCCCAGCCCTAGGCCACATGCCACAAGACAGCCCTCTCGATCTCCTCAGCCCTGGGAAAGGAAAGCTACCAGCAGCTGCGAGGCCACCTGGCACAGTGCCCCGTATGCCGCTGACACCTCTTCCAGAACTGAGGGCACTCTGTCTCCTGGCTTCTGAGCTGTCAATCAAGTTGTGCGCAGGCAGGCACCTGTGACCTGTTCCCCAGGGCTGTTCTCCCCCTTCTTCCTTAACGACAGAACCATGGGTCTCGGGCTAAGCACAAAGCTACCCAGAATAAAGTCTACATTTCCCAGACTCCTTTGCCGCAAGGTGTGTCCACAGGAGCACGTTCTGGCTAACAGGATATGAGCAGAAGTGGTGTGTATATGCCACTTAAGGAAGGACCCTAAAGGAAGGAGTGTCCCCTTCCACCCTTTCTCTTTCTTCTGGCTAGAATCCAGGTGTGATCGTTGTAGCCCTAGTAACTGTGCCAGATCCCGAAGTGGAAGTCATGTTCAGGATGGCGGTGCGGTGCAACAGAGCACGTGCCTCTTACAGCATGAGACACCAGAAAGTCCTGGATGGCAGTGAGATACCAGATGGTCTTGGATGGCAGTCTCTGGATTTTAATTCCACCTGTGTTCACGCCACTGTCTTCTCCCTTACTACTTGTTTGTCCTTTCTAGTCCAAGGGCCCTTTCTTTCCCATTTCACACAAAGTTGCATCCCTTAGGACAAGTGAATGCCCAAGCAGTGATGGTCAGCCTAGGAAAACTCAACCCAGAGTTCTAACTTGGCCCAAACCCAACCCTTTAAGACCAGGTCCTTGGGGAATATTGAGTGACCCCAGACATATAAGGAGCCCCAGGGCTAGTACCCTGGGCTACCCTTCACCCAGAGGGGTCTCCTGTGGCAAGAGATACCAGGCTTCTGCAAGGTTCCCACAGTCCTCTGTTAAGCACCCACCATGCCCCCTCCTGGTTCCTGACACAGCCTGGGAAAATATTTTGGAGAGGCAGCTGAGTCAGGCCCACTCAGGTTCAAGCCCAGCTCTGCCTCTTACTAGCTATGAGACTCAAGCTCATGCGATAAACCAGGCTACATAACTGTGTGTGCCCAGTTAGGTGACCATGCTGGCATGGAGTAACTACCTAGAAAGGTAACTAATATTATCACAATTTTTATTATGACAAATAAAGCGGGTTGACGGGTGGCCCGGATTCGAGCCAGACTGGTGTGGCTTGAATGTTTGCTTAATAGCAAAGCAAGCCTCTCGTGGGCCTTCAGGGGACAGGTTATTTTAAGCTCAGGCCACTGGATCCACTGCTGTGTGTCTGGCAGGAAACTGTACCTACAATGCCAAGAACCTCGGCCTGTGGGCTAAGCCCCAGTGACTGCCGGCCCTACTTGGGGTTCCCCCTCTTGCAGTAGACATGGTCTGGAGAACCCCACCCACCACTCTTTGGAACCAGCATCCCAAAGCGCATCTATGCTCAGGAGTGCAGAACCCAGATGCTCCTCCCCTGCAAACGCAGAGGCCACGGCCACATTTATCAGCCTCCCAAGCCTGCTTCTGTTTCTAGACCCGCTTCTTCCCTATTCCAGGACTTTTGACTGGAGCAAGGATCCACTCCCAGGCACCCGGGGTCTGTTACAGGACCAGAAACTACCCCAATCCCAGCATTCAGGTAGCTGAACACAGTGATTGGTTCAGAGGTAAGCATGTGACTCAACTATAACCAATCTGGTCCAGTCCCCCATAAACTTGGGGCTTGCCTTTGAGTGACAGGTGAGAGGAAGACGGTCAAATCATTCCTGCCTCGGTGGTACTGTGGGGTAAGCCCTGGACTACTAACTGAAAGGTTGGATGGTTCTAGCACACCGAAGAGGCCCCTCCGAAGAAAGGCCTGGTGATGTGTTTCCCAAAGACCACAACCGTGAGAACCCTCTGGAGCCCGGCTAGAGTCTATTCCACAGGAATGCTTTCGTGTAAATCCAAGAGGGTTGCGACTGGAGCTGAGGCCCCCAGAGAAGAAGGCTGGCATGGACGGAGAGCAGGACAGGAGATGAAGAGAAGAGCCTAAACTCCGCCACACACTCCTGAACTGTACCACACACAAGCCTCACTGACGCTTAGGGATATTGGCCAGGGATCAAACCCAGGTCTCGCGGCACATTAAAGACAAGAATTCTACCAGAACCATCACTGTCTCCAGGGTCACTGTACACTACTTGTTGTTGTTGTTATTGGTTGTCGCGTGGATTCTGATTCATAACAACCCGACGTAGGACAGAATCAAACACTGCCTGGTCCTGCACTGTCCTCACAACTGTTCTTGGATTTGAGTCCACTGAGGCAGCCATTTAGTCAATCCATCCTGTTGAGAGTCTCTACTTTACAAAGCCTGGTGTCCTTTTCCAAAGAGTGATTCCTCCTGATCACATGTCCAAAGTATGTGAGATGGCATCTCGCTAGCCTCCCTCCTAAAGAGCATTCTGGCCCCACTTCCAAGGCAGGTTTGTTTGTTCTGTTGACAGTCCATGGTGCTATCAACATCCCTCGCCAGTGACATCCTTGATTTTCAACACCTGAAACCTGCTTTGTACCAGAGTAAGTAAAAAAGTGTTGCTACAAAGAAGTCTTTACTAAGCAACAATATCAAAATGTGGAGCTGTTGTTTCTCAACAGAGCCTCCGTCCAGGTTCATACCCTCTGAAGGCAGCGTCTCTAAGCCTTTCCTGATGGCGTGGCTTTGGGTTTACACCACTTCAAAATGGCAGTTTGGGCATCATGTTCTTTTGAAATGCTGAGTTTGAGAAATAAAAAGAAGTCTGAAGGAGCGAGGGCTACAGGCATTTCCTATATCCATTTAACAGAAGCAATTAAATGGCTTAAGGCAGTGGGCTTACCAACTCTCTCTATTCATACTTCCCAATAATCATTTCTATCACACATAGATTACTAGAAAAGGTAGAGAAGAAATCAGCACAACTTAGTAGAGTCAGATCCTAAACTCAATTCTTAAAACAGTCCATTTCAATCCTTTCTTATCTAAACCATCCCATTTACATGGAATATGGCCTTGGGCCTCTGGCGGCATCAAGCCAGGGCCAGGCCTTCTATCAGCCATTTTGACTAAGCAGCATGGCCTCAGAGAAGTTCAAGGGGTGTTTTCGCCCCTTGAGGTCAAAATTTTCACTTATCACATTCATTTTTGCCATTTCAAACTGGAATAACTAGAGACAACCTCTAGGAATCAAAACCTTCACTTCCCATGTCCTTTCCAGAAAGCCATCAAGTAAACAGTGTGGCCCTATCTGACCTCTGGCTAACCAAAGAAGTAAAAAAGTGGCAGAGGTCAGACAAGCATCCACTCTCCATCTTCATGATTTGTTTCTCTAGTACCCCACTCCCAAGGTACCATAATGTGTTAGGCCGGATGACTAGAGAAACAAACTCAATGACAGTCATATATGTCACTGAAAGAGCTTTCTATCCATAAGTAGTCATATATCAGGAAAACATTCCAGGCCAGTCCAACTCAAGTCCCTAAGTCCAATACTAGTCCATACGTCCCTCATCAGATTCACGCAGTCACGTGCAGTGATGCAGAAATGCAGGAAGATCACAGACTTGTGGGTGCACAGTCTTGTGGATCCAATGGCAGTGGAAGCATCACAGGGCTCTGACTGGTCTCAGAGTGGTTCCCAGCAGAAAGGTGAAGGCAGAGTGAAAGGGTGGTTCTCCTTAGGAGAAGGCCATGCCCACAGGGAGGCACTGGCTAAACTCCACCCCTACACTGTTCTCTGTCTTCAAGGTGACATGAAATTATGTAACCACTACACCAACAAAATGCTTCAAAGCAATTTCCTGGTCTTTTCCACATCAATGCAGTTTTCCATTTTCTTAAAACTTCATCATAAGCTTCTATGGTTGTTTTGTGCCCTTCCTGAAAATTACTATCAACATGACTCCTTTGGCACCCCTGTCCCCAAATAGTCCCCATAACGTTCTGAGCTGTCTTCTCCGCATTGAAGTTAGCTGGACAGCACATGCCCGCAGAAGTTATTGTTCTGATTGGAGCTTTTTCTTTGCAGGTGCCCTCAAAGACGGGTGTATGGCTATGGACTCATCTAGAACCATCCACTGGCTGCAGAGACATTTTTATGGACATTTTGTTTGGGATGGACCCATGCATGAATGTATAATTGAAAATGCACTCGTATTAAAGCACATAGTTACAAATAATACTTTCCCCTACCAGGGCCACCACGTAGAGTCGTATAGGTTGTGTATGGCTCAACTCTAGTCAACAACTTCTACAACTGTGCAGGCCTGTCCTGCTTCCCACCCGAAGAGTTAACCACTCCCAACTAGTTTACAAGTTACTCCTGGGAGATAGTGCCATGTCTCTAAATGAAATGCTTCCCCTGATAGTTCTCCCTGTATCCGTTTGGTCCTTATCTACTGATGTCATGGCATGATAATCGAGGCATCAAGCTCTGCTTCCCTCCCGGGCTTCCCTTCCCCATCCCACCTCAGATGAGTAGGTCTTCTGGTTTGTCCTGACACAATGCCAAGAACTTCCTGTTATTCCATCAACTGGTGTGCGTCCATCTACCACGGG